TATAGAGTGGTGCCCTTTGGATTTAGCTGTGATTAGGTTGGTAGTGACTTTAATACAAGCAGTATCAGTAAAGTGGAGGGGGTGGAAGCCAGACTGAAGAGGGTCAAGGAGAGAGTTGGATTGAGGAAGCAAGTCAAAAGGGTAAAGACAAGTCTTTCCAGAAGCTTTGAGTCAAAAGGGAGCAGGGATATGGGATGATAGAATAAATAGTAATATAAATAAGACAGCTAAGAAAAGGGATTAAAGACAACAATGAATTGTAACGAGCGCTTACCTTTCCCCGCCGGTCCCACGCAGCGCGGGGTCCTCCTCCAATACTTCCGGGGGGCGGCTCAGCTCTTCTGACGCCGGCCGCTCGGAACACGCCCACCTTTATGATGCGACGCATGCGCGCCGACGTCAGAGGGAAAATGCCGCCAAAATTCAAACGTGGCCACGCTCCCGGACTTTTTGGGGGCGTGGCTTCAAAATTAAAGTCAAAGAACCCACACTATAAAAGGGCTATCATGACACTTGTCAGATGCCCTAGTGTGGTTCTTGTTTAAAGTCCCCCAGTGCTATTATCTCTGCTTGTCCTTCTTGGTATTTGACCCTTGGCTATCTCTCCGACTATTCTGTTTTCTGGTTTCCTGTTACTTGGCTTGGATAATCGTGTGCCCGTCTTCTGTATTCCCTTGACCTCTGGCTATTCCTTTAACTATTCTCAGACGCTAGTCCGGCCATTCTAAGGTCCGGTAACCGTCTTTCTGCGGGTTTCACGCTGTGTGAAGGGGTCACTGTTGTGACATTGGTCACTGACATTACACTAGGGCCATGGACCCTGCAGGTGTTAACCCTCTCGGGCCAGTATCTGATGACCGGTTTGAAGAACTGGACCATCGCATGGACCAGTTCACTATTACGGTACAAACTTTGCTAGCACGTACTGCCCATCTCCAACCGGAGGAGCAAATCCCAGTACTCAGACCTCAGGAACAACCTATGGAAATGGTTACTATGGGTACACCCAATCATGCAACCTCCCCTCTCCGTTATGGGGGTGATCCTAAAGGTTGCCAAGGTTTTTTGAACCTTAGTTAGTATTTATTTTGAGCTTCATCCGAGAGCATACCCTACAGATAGGGCAAAAATAGGTTACACCATCACTTTATTGATTGATAGGGCGTTAGTTTGGGCGAATCCTCTATGGGAGAACGACAACCCGATAGTGTTTAACTATGTAGAATTTGTCGCGGCTTTTAGGAGGACTTTTGATCCCCCAGGGAGGAGAACTAATGCTGCCAAGACCTTGCTACATATGAGACAGGGTTCTCGTTCTCTTGTTGATTATGCTCCAGAATTTCGTACCCATGCGGCCGAGGTTAGATGGAATGAACAAGCATTTGTTGACGTATCCATGAACGGGCTTTCAGATAAACTTCTAGATGAAGTTGCCACTAGAGACTTACCCAATGTGCTAGAGGAACTGATCACATACCTTTCCCACATTGATGAGCGTCTCCAACACAGACAGAATACTAGAGACAGACCTTGACGGGTGCCAGAACGCCTGGCATTAACTTATCCTTCATCCGAGACAACAGCAGTCACTCCTCCAGAACCTATGCAACTGGGAGTTACGCGTTTGTCTGAGAATGAAAGACAATACCGTCATAGGGAGGGACTATGCCTATATTGTGGCCGAAAGGGACATTCTCGTTCAACCTGTCCCAACCGGCCGGAAAACTCCCGTACCTAAGCCCTCAAGGAGGACAGGCCTTGGGTGTAATGTGTATGTCCTCCTTTAATGATAAAAAAGATCATAAGCTTCTTCTACCTATTGTAATTGAGTGGGAAGGAAAAAAGGTGCCAACCATTGCCTTAATAGACTCTGGGGCGGCCGAAAATTTTGTTGATCATAAATTCGGTCAGGAACATGCTCTCCCATTTCAAAACAGATCAACACCCTTGGCCGTTGAGGCCATAGATGGTAGACCATTATCAATCCCTTTTATCACACAAGAGACTCTTCCAGTGGTATTGTCCGTAGGTTCCCTGCATAGGGAGGTTATAATCCTGCAACAGGTCACTTCTCCCATTTTTCCTGTTATTATTGGCTTTCCTTGGCTCTCTAAACATAACCCTTCTATAGATTGGGAGAAAAAAGAAATTGTTAAATGGAGTGAGACTTGCCACAGAAAGTGTATTACTCCTATTAAACATGTAGGTCTACTTAATGTACCTACTATGGAACCTTTAACCACTCAGATACCCAGACAATATTGGGATCTGAAAGCGGTTTTTGAACCACGAGAGGCAGAAAAATTACCCCCACACTGGTCCTATGACTGTCCATTTACTTATTACCCGGCACTATGCCCCCTAGAGGCACAGTTTACCGAGAATAAGGTACTACAAGAATATATCACGGAAAATTTAAGAAAGGGATTTATTACTAAATCTTACTCCCCAGCTGGCGCTGTTTTTTTTTTGTTTCCAAGAAGGAAGGGGACTTAAGACCCTGTATCGATTATCGGGGTTTAAACAAAATAACTATACGTAACGCCTATCCTATTCCTTTAATTACAGAACTTTTCGACAGATTAAAGGGGGCGACTATTTTTACGAAATTGGATCTACGGGGAGCATACAATCTAGTCAGGATTAAAAAGGGGCACGAATGGAAGACTGCTTTTAATACTCGCTATGGTCACTACGAGTATCGGGTCCTGCCATTCGGGTTATGTAATGCCCCAGCAGTCTTTCAAGACTTCAGTAATGATGTTTTAAGGGAATATTTACAGATGTTTGTTATTGTCTACTTAGACAATATTCTAATCTACTCTAAGAATATTAAAGACCACCATAATCACGTTAGGTTGGTTCTTTCTAAACTCTTAGAAAATGAACTTTACTGTAAGTTAGAGAAATGTCTATTTGATAAGGACACTGCATTTTCTGGGCTATATAATTTCAGGGTCTGGATTTCAAATGGATAAGAAAAAACTAGAAGCTATCCTTAATTGGCCCCTGCCCATTGGACTCAAAGCCATCCAACGTTTCCTGGTATTTGCCAATTATTATAGAAAATGTATTAAGGGTTCTCCTCAACACTGCACCTATCACAGCCATGACCAAAAAAGGACGAAATTCTATGGAATGGAATCTCGAGGCCAAGGAGGCTTTTGAGAGACTTAAATTGGCTTTTTCTTCTGCGCCGGTGTTGAGACATCCCAATCCCTCACGTCCTTTTATATTAGAGGTGGATGCATCTGAAACCGGTATTGGAGCGGTGCTATCTCAACGTCCATCTGATGACCAACCATTGCATCCCTGTGGATTTTTTTCTAAGAAATTAACTGAGACAGAAAAGAGATATGACATTGGGGACAGGGAATTATTGGCTATTATCTCTGCTCTCAAGGAGTGGCGCCATCTGTTAGAGGGGCTAACCATTCCTATCACCATCCTTACGGATCACAAAAACCTTTCGTATTTTGGAGAAACTAAAAGAATGTCAGACCGGCAGATTCGATGGTCTTTATTTTTAACATGATTCAATTACATAGTAACTTACAGACCAGGATCAAAGAACACTAAGGCTGACGCCTTATCCCGTCAACATGAACACTTATCACCTACAGTAACAAATTTTTCTTCCATAATCCCATCCAACCACATAATCACCACCGTCCATGCCAAGATCTCTTCAAGGTTAATGGAGGAATTATCTAGGTTTCAGGATCAGACCTCATTAACTGTTCCCAGGGGAAAATTATACGTACCCTTGGCTTATAGAAAAAAGGTCTTATTCCTTGTACACAACTCCAAATTGGCAGGGGATCCGGGCATTCACAAAACGGAGTCTTTACTCGAAGAACAATTTTGGTGGCCTTCATACAAGAAGGACGTTCGCGAGTTCATTCTTGCTTGTAGGGTCTGTGCCTCCACGAAATCATCCAAAGGTTGTCCTTTGGGTTTCCTTTTGCCATTGTCCATTCCCGATAAACCCTGGTCGAGTATTGCTATG